GAACTTGGGGAGGGCAAAATCCTTTATGAGTACAAAATTATCATTAATACACAGAATATTTTATCATGAGTATTACATATCATTATTACATAAATGGTCTTACTATGTAAAAGTGTCATTACGGTAAAAATGAAATCCAAGAGGGCACAGTAGAGATGGTCATGCTGAAAAGACCTGGTCAACTATTTGCCGTTTACAAATTAAATACAGGAATGACTATAATCCCTGGATGTGCAAAGCAATACCAGATTCTTTTTTTTGAGACGGAGTTTCGCTCTTGTTACCCAGGCTGGAGTGCAATGGCGCGATCTCGGCTCACTGCAACCTCCGCCTCCTGGGTTCAGGCAATTCTCCTGCCTCAGCCTCCCGAGTAGCTGGGATTACAGGCACGCGCCATCGTGCCCAGCTATTTTTTTGTATTTTTAATAGAGACGGGGTTTCACCATGTTGACCAGAATGGTCTCGATCTCTTGGCCTCGTGATCCACCCGTCTCGGCCTCCCAGCAATACCAGATTCTACTTCCTTGTACTGCTGTGCTTTACCAAGCCAAATCTGAGAAACAATTTTAGTGCTACGCGTTTCATGGCACTAAAGACGAATCATAAAGCACACTGTATCTCTGATTACAATAGGACACTTCCGCCAATCTAGGACCCTACCCTTGGCTGACTGGTGGACTTAACTTTGACGGACACATGCACCCTCCTTCCTCTTGGCCAATGGCAAAGACTGAAGCCTTCGCATAGAGCAAATTGTTGCAGCCGAATATTCAAACAGATCTCATGTTTCTATTGTAACAGATTTCTACCTGTTTCATGATAGAAACAGATCTCATGGTTTCTATCATGGGAGATTGCATCCACTTTTTTTCCCCCGTAAGTAATATGTACACCCTAGGAAGTTATCATCAAAGAACAAGCTCTTAGCCAACATTCCTCCCACAATATAAGAGAGTTTCCGAGCGAGAAATCAACCCATGCATTTATGAAATGCTAAGCACTAAAAATCTCTGAAACACTTTAGTTGTATGCTTTTTTTGTAATGGTTCCAAGATTTTGGGAAGAAACATGGAAACTTTTGGGTTGTGCATTTAAGATAGTAAAAGATTCAGGAAGTACAAAAAAGGGAATAAAATAAATTGAAAGGAAGATAATTTAGTTAATTAAAAAATTTTTTTTTAAATCTGCAGTGTCAAGATGCTATGGTCAAAAAAAAAAAAAAACAGAAACAAAAGCAAAAACTCACACATCACGAAATTTCTTTCAAAGTTTAGTCCAACTCTTTGCTCAATTATATGACTATAGAGAAGACAGGATGAATAATCAAGTTTTAGTTCTTCAACTCTGAAGGCACAAATCACTCATTAGCATGTTGCTCTGTTTGATGCAACTTACTTTTGAAGAGCCAGAAATCAATACAAAAGGAAACAATAATAATAAAAGGAAAGATTTCTACTGTCATAATAGGGAAAGGTGTGTGAGCTGGAAGGAAGTATAGTACAGAAGCCCATGACAAGTCATGATAAATGGGTCGTTATAAAATTCATGTTTAGGCAGCACCAGGCCGGGGATAATGCCATTCGTCATGGCAACACGAGGCCGCTAATGAGCCCTCATTGCATATTCATGTTTGTGGCGTTTCTTCCCTCCCTCCCACCCTCAACTAGTGCCTGGAAATATCTCTACCTCAAGCTGAAGCTCAGCTTAGGCCTTCTTCTTTTTCTTCTCTCTCTCTCTTTTTTTATTTGTTATGTTGCAGCAATTACACTGTAAAAGTGCTGCCCAAGATTGATTGCTCTGATCTGTAGTTCAATTGTAAATTAGAATACACATCCCCCCAGGGACACACGGCCCCTATTTGTGATTAAGAAAAAAGCCCCATAATAGACTAATAGCTAAAGTTCTCTCTCTTTTACTTTCAGGCAATTAGCTTGATGAAATGGCCTCTTTTTGTGTACCCTGGAAGTGTAAACCGATATCATAATGAAGTATATGATGTTTATTCTATTATTTTCACCTTGCTGGGTATGCAGGAATGCATAAGTAATGGCTGCTTTGTCTAGTACGTTTACTGATTCACAAGTAAACTATTTCTTAAAGATGCAGTGTATGCTTTCTGAGGCTTGAGTTAAGCAACTCCTAACTGTGGATTAACCTTCACACAAATGCCTACTGCAGGGGAGGAAAATGAATCCCCCAGGTCGGGGGACAGCATGATGCTGATATTCAAGAGGACTCCAGTCAGTGGGGCTGCTGTGGGATGGATGTGGTGACAAAGTACAAGTGCCAGCACTCAGGATCAGTGAAGACAGCAGGAAACTTTGGAAAAGTGTTCGATAGTGGCTTTTTGCTCAAAGAGACTCCACCTGACTATAATGTACCCCTCATCTCCCCCAGTTACTTGTGGAACACCAACTCACTTTCTTTTCTAAGGTGGCTGAAACTCTTCCTACACCATGGTTATACAGTTGTCGCTTTTTTTCCCCCCAGTGGATTGCACCCTCACTCATCCACCACCCAAAAAAAAAGTCTTGTAGTTTCAAGGTCCAACGCATTGGCAAGAAAATATTCTTCAGCTTCTTATATGCACCAGATGACAGAGGTTTTGACCACAGAACCAACGAATCACTTGCAGTTGGTGCATTACCAAAGCCATTTGTGTTCTTCCTCTGCAATGTCTTTTTTTTTTTTAATTTTGAGACAGAGTTTCGCTCTTGTTACCCAGGTTGGAGTGCAATGGCGCAATCTCGGCTCACCCCAACCTCCGCCTCCTGGGTTCAGGCAATTATCCTGCCTCAGCTTCCTGAGTAGCTGGGATTACAAGCACGTGCCACCATGCCCAGCTAATTTTTTGTACTTTTAGTAGAGACGGGGTTTCACCATGTTGACCAGGATGGTCTTGATCTCTTGACCTCGTGATCCACCCGCCTCGGCCTCCCAAAGTGCTGGGATTACAGGCTTGAACCACCGCGCCCAGCTGCAATGTCTTAATATTTGTTCTGTTTTCATTCATGAGGATCTCAAAATTAGAGGGAAAAAAAAGGGTGTTGTGCATGGCAAGATAGAAAAAAAGGAAAAAATAGAAAAGAAGTAATATAAATAGAAGAAAAAAGAAAAATAAAAATATATCTTGGTCTAAAGCATTTTATGGTGGGTAACTTAACAAGATGTTAATTAGTGTTTCAATTCTACATTCTAATTCCCTGCTGTTCATCAGCAACCCAGTTTGTTTCACCCCCCACAAATCCTTTCTGGGTTTGTATTGTCTAAACAAATCCATCCTTGTCTTCTTTAACATGAATTTGATTTGAGTTTCTCGAAAATATAAGGAAATCATATTTATGGCAAAGGATCTCATAATTTTTAATGCTGAGTTTGATGGGCACTTTTAGATGTCTTATATTTTTAAAGTAATACGTGAGATACTCGTTTGTCACATATAAAATGTGCTTGCTTTTCCTCCAGGTACTTCAGCTCCTTCTTGGTTAACTAAAACATTTGGGGGAAATTTTGTTACTATATTCTGGAAAGCAATTCTACTGTTATATCATTTCCAAAATCCTATAAAGTGAGCTGCCAAAAAATATTTCATGAAAATTCACTTTATGTCTTCTTTTCTAAAAATCAAAAGTTTTTATCAGGTCTTATTTGGGGTGCTGACTTTCTCTTTAACTTGTACAACATTGAACTGCCTTCTAAGTTATAAACCTGCAAGACAGTAAATGTAAATTCTCATCCCTCTCAGAAACTTTTGAATGGCTAGCCATGTTGCCGTATTTAAAATATGCTATTTTCAATTTTCAAATGATATTGAACTGGGTAGGTCTTCTCATTCACTTATATAACCTGTCACTTTTTCTTTTCTTGAGATGGAGTCTTGCTCTGTCACCCAGGCTGGAGTACAGTAGCATGATCTTGGCTCACTGCAATCTCCACCCCTGGGTTCAAGCGATTCTCCTGCCTCAGCTTCCCAAGCAGCTGAGACTACAGGCACGCGCCACCACGCTAAGTTTTTGTATTCTTAGTAGAGACCAGTTTTCACCGTGTTAGCCAGCATCTCCTGATCTCGATCTCCTGACCTCATGATCCGCCCGCCTCTGCCTCCTGAAGTGCTGGAATTACAGGCATGAGCCACTGCACCCGGCCAACCTGTTACATTCTTAAGTACACTTTTTCTAGAATAAGAATGCCTCTTATTTACAAGGTGCTTTATAATGTTTAAAGTTTTTTCAAATAGATTGCCTTATATAAATAATTCTATGAGATAAATGAGCCAAATAACACCTTATTATTACCCCAAAGTTAGAGGGGGAAAATTATGACTCAGAGAGGTATGTGACTTGCCGAGTCATAGGTTAGTAAATGCAAAGTTGAGGCTTGTCCCCAGGTGTGTAACTCCAAAATAAGAGCTCTTTCTGGTACGCAATGCTGCCTCTTCACTAGGTGTACATTCCAGAAGCAGCAACTTGCTGAAATCTCACAGCCTCAATATAAACAAGGTTTGTGATCTTTATTCATACGTGCTCAGGATTAACAAATGAGTTGAATGACACTTATATGCATGCACACACAAACACGCACACACACCCTCCTTGACAAATAGGAAAAAAAGTAATAAAATTCATACTGCACTGTTATCTACCAAGCTAAATTTAAGATAATCTATGTTAGATTATAAGCATATGCTTAGACTGGGTACGTACCAGGCACAGAATTGAAGCAATTATCTACGTAATTCAAATTTGAGGGACAGGGGGATTACCACTCTTCTTACAGTCGACTGATTGGGTTTGTATGTTTAGAGATTTGGTCGAGCCTTTTCACCAAACATCTCTTCAGACCTTTGCACGGCTATTCCCTCAGCCCACCCCTACACCATCTCATGTATTTCCATCTGAGTGACTCAACCCTGACCACCAATCTGGATTCAGCTCAAAAAGCACTTCTCCCTGGAGACATTCGCTGACCTCTATCCATCCCTTTATCCCTGTTCCAAATACCTCTTTGGTTTCCTCTCCACTAAGGAGCCTCCTTCATCCCAGTTTTGAAGCCAGTGAAGACAGGATTCTTGAAGCCAGTGAAGACAGGATTTGGATCTAGAATTCAGCAGATATAAACATTTTAAAAGGTGTGGTGGACCTGTCTGCCAAGGTGGCTCCCATGCTCCAGACCCCCTGTGTACCAAAGAGCCGTGCTCAGAGCACTGGGATTAGCAAAGCAGCTGTAGGCTGTTCTTTGCAAAGTAATGGCCACCATTTCCGTCAGCAGTGGGCACCTAACTCGTGGTCTGCCCATTGTTGGAGTAGCCTTGAGATGATAACTTCACCAAATAAAACATCTAGAGCAGAAACCACTGAAGTAGGCAAAATCATGTCGGCCACGATTTTTATGAGAAATTATTGCTGCCTGAACTTGAGAAAGAAATGAATCCAGAAGTAATCCCTAAACACTGTATAGATACTTCCAAATCTCAGGTGTAATGTTACCTAAACATAGGAGAAGTAAGGGTATGTGTCATTATCTCTTCATTTATTCATGTTTTCCTTCATTCAACAAATGCTTATTGAGCCTTGAGGAGATAATCATAAAAACGACATCATTCCGGCTCTCATAGTCATGGAACTTACAGTTTAATGGGAGAGATAAATATTATATAATCACACTAATGAATAGAACATGGCATACAACAATATATACACAAAGTAAAAGTAAGAATAAAGTGGAACTTACAGTGAAGCCTTAATATAAACAAGTGCTTCAGTATAGAAGGTCTTGCAATAGAAACCTGAAGAATGAAGTTATAGATAAAGGTATTAGAAAAAATAAAAGGATTTCCAAAAACATGTGGAAAGGTCCAGGAGTAGGAAACAGCTTGGAAGTTAAAGAAATTACCAACAGGCCATTGAGCTTGGACCACTAGTACCTGGAGATAAAGTAGAATGTGATGAGCCATAGGTGAGCAGAGCCACATCACAGGGCCTTGTAGACCACAGGCTGAGGTAGGAATTTTGGGAGCCACTTTTAAGTCCAGTGCAAAGCACCTGAGGGGTTCTAAGCTGGAAAGGCCAATGATCAGACCCACAGCAGCTGAGAGGGTGATAGTGTTGTCCCATTTTGAATAAGAAACCTCAATTTGTTAGGAAAGAAACACACAACAGCTATATTTTACCAACACCAACTAACCAATTATGTCTAGAAAAACACTTTACCTTCCCTGGGAGAAAACAAACCCCTCTTCACCCAATAAGAGGGAAGCCCAGTGCCAGGCCTGTCAGCATTGAACGGGGATGATCTGATACCAGGTATAATATCAAAGAACTTTTTTTTCTTTTTTTTTTGAGACTGAGTCTCACTCTGTTGCCCAGGCTGGAGTGCAGTGGTGTGGTCTCAGCTCACCACAGCCTTTACCTCTCAGGCTCAACTGATCCTCCCAACTCAGCTTCCTGAGTAGCTGGGACCACAGGTGCATGTCACCATGACCAGCAAATTTTTATGTTTTTTGTAGAGGGTGTTTTCACCATGTCACCCAGGCTGGTCTTGAACTCCTGAGCTCAAGCCATCCTCTCGTCTCAGCCTCCCAGCATGCTGAGATTACAGGGGTGAGCCACCATGCCTGGTCTTCGAAGAGCTTTTGAGTCAGTTCTGAGAAACACTGACTGCTCTTGTCATAGGAAGCCATCTGCTAAAATGCGATAGTACAACTAGAAGATGCCTTATGGGGTCTGCATGAAATACAGTCAGAGACTGGTTCAAAGATCTCATAAAATAGTCATTCTCAGCGTCTTGAAATGCTGGCCTTGACCTCATAACATGCTCCTGAGTCACTTTCCTACACCCACTGATCTGGTTAGGACCCATCCACGCCAAACCACAGATCCCTGTTAGAGCACGTTGCTGTCATTGCTTGCTAATGGTCTTACCTCCTGCACTCAGCAGTGAGCTCCACAGAACAGGAAGAGCATGCATCTTACTTGCCCCTTTCTCCCTAATGCCCAGTACAGTGCAGGGCACTTTTAGATGCTTAGTCATGTTGATGTGTTTCATTTGTGTTACAGTATGCAGCACTATGTGTTGTCATGGGTGATTTGTTTTTCTATCTGTTCCTGTGAGTTCTTTGCGAGTAGAATCCATGCCTCCATCTTTGCATCTCCAGTTTATCAAAGAGGCTGGCTCATTGTTGGCACTTGATTAGGATTGATTAATTGATCAGTTAATTAACATATGGATAAAGCAATTAGGTATAAAGGATCTTCCTAAATGCAACCAACTCTACCTCTCTTTTAGTCAATCACAGATGCATAAAACCACATTGTCTGAGAATCTTACATGTCTTCAGTATTCATTGGTGAGAGATGTGTTTTATGCTGCTGTTTTATGCATTTCTACATGTGATTATACACCCCAGAAAAGAGTGCATGTAAAACTGCTGAAGCCTGAATAAAGCCTCTAACTGAGTTAACAATATTGAATCCATTTCCTAATGTTTAGAATGTGCTGTGGTTATGTGATATGCTGTCTTTCAGGAAAGCTGGGTGAAGGGTACAGGAGATCTCTCTGGATTATTTTTACAACTTCAGTGAGTCCTTTACTATTTCAAATAAGATGTGGTAATTTTTAAACACTTTCTGATTTTTATGTTTATACTTTTACATATATTTATATATATTTCTATAACATCGAAAATAGTTTAAATGTCATAAATAATAATTAAATGATATTATCATATATTACACTAGCATACAGGAAAGAAAATTCCCTAATGTGGGGATTTGGGGCACTATTCTTTTTGTCTGGCTAGGTTGGCATTTAAAATATACTAGGAGAGGAAGGAGATGCATTACTTTTGCCTGATTCAAGCATATTTTCGAAATGATGTTTTCATAAGCAAAGTGCCAACAGCTATGATCTTATCTTCTCTCTTCTTTGTATCCTAATTCTGGTCAATAATAAGTATTTCTGCTCTCTTCTGCAGATTTTAGGTTTTGGAAGAGAGGATGCAATTATAAGCAACGGGAAACTGTTAGCGAAAAACTCACAAGAAGTCAGAGAGCCTTTAAACTTTTTTCTACCCAGTGTTGTCCTTTTAAGAAATAATGTCAGTTTTAGAGAGTGATGCTTTAAATAAATAAGGCTGGTGTTTACAGTATTACTGGAGTTTTAAATGACATGTTCAAGATCCCACTGTTGGTTACATGGATAACAATGTAGGTCATCATATCTAAACTCCGAAGCATGGTAGGCAATTCTTCTACTCTCTGAGAGATCTGAAAGCCACCCACAAAAATTCCATATGGCAGATTAAGGTAAAATTTCAATATCTCTTAAACTTCTTAAACATGTAAGTTCAGCAAAAAAAAAAAAGTCTTTTAGCATAAAAAGCTGCAGTTTCCAATACTATTCAATTAATTAGCTTCCAGTAGTAAATCAAATAAACATTCTGAAATAGCCTGTAGATGTCATAAACCTAAAGTCAGGTTCAAAGGATGAATGCCATTCTCCCATACACTTTCTCGTTTTTCAGGAAACTGCAAACTTGTCAGTAGGTACATCTAAGCAGTATACCCTGTAGTTTTATGATAACATACATACACTAAGTTCAGCTCAAGGTATGGCATGGTAGCTTCATCTTACAGACCCACCGGTTTGTCCCAGAGAGATTCTGAAGGAGACAGTATAATAACCAGGTGCAGGAACACAGTGCCTCTCTGCTTGCTGGAAAAGCTCATTAGAGAAGGGCATCCATCTTTACTTCTTCAGGATAGTAAAATAGAGTTTAACCTAGTAAAGGAAAGGGAGAAAAAATGCAAGAATGTTCTTAGGATCTATCATACTGAATCATGAATCAAAGAAGAAGAAACTATAATTACCTCTCATTCCATCGAACAGAGAAATCTCTTCCACACGATCTTTTGTGTGGCAAGAATAAAGCTTCATTCCAAAGAAAATCCAGTTAAAATATTCCAAAAGAGATAAAATACAAGATCCCGCAGCTCTTCAATGCTTGCTACTGGCCAAATCTTGCAATTAGAATCAGTCACTTTAAGTGCTGAAGTTGTATGATGCTAATAGATCACTTTATAATGTGAGCAGTTTTTAAAGTCGTATTTAAATTTCCATCGTTACAGTACTGAATGCCGGTTGCGTCTGTCCATTCTGATATAGGTTCTTAAATCTCCGTAGGGTACGGACTAGTGCTTACCTAGGTATTACTTGATTCTGGCTTTAATTCTCAGAGGCCTGAATTAGAGCTGTAAAATGGACTGTATTTCAACTTTCTCCCTAAATGTGTTTATGTTTATTTTCAAGCCACATGATGAGGGCTCCCTTTGGTTTCATAATTATTTTATTTCAAAAAATAGAAATTGAGGTGAGGTGTATATGTCTGAATGTGTGTGTGCGGTTTTCTTTAAGAAAATGAAATGAACCAGAAAATAAGCCCTTAGCAGTAACCTAAGAAATAAAACAAAATCATTTACAACACATGGGATGTTGCAGGGTATGTCAAGATTAGATGGTTTTAAGGGAGCTATCCTGAATGTGGAAGCAATTATAATGAAATTCATGAGTCATTAGCAAACATTCCATATTGTGTTTCTCATTTCTGGGTCAATGTTACTAGGAAATACAGACTTAAGATTTAGATGTTTCATTGACTTCAGCGCTACATTATAGACAGTTGGACTATACAACAACATAGGGCACAAGCTCTAGGGTTTTAAAGTTCTTCACTTCTCAGATGGAGGCAATTTGATCCTAAGATACCTATGAACAAAGTAACTTCAAAAATGTATTAGTAAGAATTAAGTTGGTGATAGAAGGGTTGTCTGTACATGTAAAGAATTACATGGTGCAAATGCATACTGGTGAATGTCGGTGGGGATTTTGCCTGTACGCTGCTTGGTATGCAAAATGGCTGGTGAACTCAAGTACCCGACACTGTAGGTAATGGGAACCAGATGTCTAACAGAGAGAGAAAAATATTTTATAGCAATAAATGTGACATTGACTCTTAAAGGGTTTGCTGTTGTTAAACAACTTCCCATTCTTACTTTCCCTCATATTTTAATGCAGTTTCAAGTAGATTGTGTAAGGAAATTATTTTCATATTTTAAAAGAAAAAGTATTCAACTTACCACTAACTTATAAAATGCAGATATAAGGAGAAATGGTTGGAATAAGATAATTTTGGAATTCATTCATTTACCAAAGCACTGTGCTCAGCAATGTAAAAAAATATATGAAGGTAAATAAAGCATAATTCCTCCTGCCCTTAAGGAACTCAAAACATACTAGATGTGGTAAGATTCACACAGCTGGATGGGGACATGGCACAAGCAAGCCCTGGGAAAGACGCACAAAGTGTTCCGAGAATTCCAAGGAGGAAAAGAAAAGGCGATGGCCAGCAGGATCCATGAAGGAGGGTCCTGCTGATCCATCCTGCTCAACGTCTCCCCCGTCCACCCCCTCCTCTGCACAGCACTAGGCCACCTTGGTGAGGGCCCTCCTGCTCTCTGGCTAATGCAGGGGTCTCCAGTAGCTCGGCAGCTTTGCTCTCTCAGCATTGCCACAGTCATGCCCCGTGCAACCCTGACTTTGCTGCCAGGATGGTTGTCCAAAAGCACTAATCCAGCTGGGAAGTAGGGTGCCCTGATGATTAAATTGCAAGCTCTGTAATAAAGCTTGGGGTTCACTTCCTGCTTTGAGGTTTTTTGGTTGTGACCTTGGAGAAGTCACTTAGCCGATCTCCCTCTGTAATAGCAAGTGTCTTATAGGCTTGGAGTCAGCATTTCATGAGGTGCTGCACACAATGTGCTTTGCACGGCACCAGCATGGAGTCAGGGCACTGTTGGAAACTCTTTTAGCTGTGACATCGAATCACGCTTGTTTGTTTGTTTGTTTGTTTGAGACAGAGTCTCACTCTGTTGCCCAGGCTAGAGTGCAGTGACTCACTGCAACCTCCGCCTCCTAGATTCAAGCGTTTTGGAATTCATTCATTTACCAAAGCAGCCTGCCTCAGCCTCCCATGTAGCTAGAATTACAGGTGTGTGCCATGACACCTGGCTAATTTTTTGTTGTATTTTTAGTAGAGATAAGGTTTCGCCAGGTTGGTCTCGAACTCCTGACCTCAAGTGACCACCAGCCTTGTCCTCCCAAAGTTCTGGGATTACAGGCCCAGTCTAGTTTTTACAGAGCAGAATCCAAAGCCTCTATTTTTGGCATGCCAGACTGTTCATGAGCTGGCACTCACATACTTCTCCAATTCTTTTTCTTGATCCCTTTCATTAAATACTCAACTCTCTTGCCATCCTTGTCAGCTTGTCTTTGTCCAAGCGGGCCTTCTGTGCTCCAACCCCATGCCTCTGCACATGCTGTTGCCGCTGCCTTAGGTGCTCCACTTTCCTTCCACCACTCTGCATTGCAAATACCTGCTTAAACTGCAGGTCTCCCTCTCCCAGATCTTTCTGACTCTTCCCTGCTATCCTGTGAAAGAACAAAGGCCTTCTTCCCATAGGCTATGGGCCTTAAACTCACAGGGCCCACACACACAAATAGCATAAATAAATGAAGTCATACAGGATAAGACTATAGGGAGTGGTGGGGCTGTAGTTGAAAAGGAGAATTCATATCTTTGCTTTTTGAGATGGAGTCACATTCTGTCACCCAGACTGGGGTGCAGTGGAGCAATCTCCGCTTACTACAACCTCTACCTCCTGTGCTTCTCAGGTTCAAGGGATTCTCCAGCCTCGGCCTCCTGAGTAGCTGACTGCCATCATCCCTGGCTAATTTTTGTATTTTAAGTAGAGACAGCATTTCACTATGTTGGCCAGGCTGATTTCAGACTCCTGACCTAAGTGATCCGCCCACCTCAGCCTCCCAAAGTGCTGGGATTACAGGCATGAGCCACCACTCCCAGCAAGAGAACTCATTTCATTCCCTGGCTAAAAGATCAGCCATGCCTCACTGTTGCCATGGTGGAATAGGGGCTCGTTATTGACAATTCTCTCATTTTCTCAAGGTAAGACAGAAATATGTATTTTTACCTAAAATCTCCAGTGTTTTGTTGGTAACAACTTTAGAACAACTGAAACCCCCTGGGGACCAAGTGGCTAACTGCATGTAGACCTTGGCTCTTGGAACGCCTTATTCTGGGATTTCCTTACAGGTATCCACCACCAATGTGGTGAACTTAACTTTGCCCTTTAATTGTTTGCACATCTACTTCCCCAGCAAACTATGCTCTTGAGGATAAGGATCATGTGGGGTTACCTTTGTCTTCCTAAGGATAACAGCATAGGGGGTGGCTCAGTGAAGCATCTCACTCAATTTCATATTGATATTTTCCAGAGCCTTGAAGCCAGGGAAGGGTCTGCTGAAGGGAAGTCGTTCCAGGGGCATCAACAGATAAAGATGTCCTTATTCCAAGTGTCCCTGTCTCTAGAAAAGAAAGATTTTACAGATATTGTAAGCCGTACTCTACATTTGACTTCCTTAGGCCCATCTGGAACTCTTCCTATGATGGCTGCAAAGCCCACTCCATCATTAGCAACACTCCAGCCAGCTCTCCAAATATAAACCTAATCCATAAATCTAGGCTATATATAAACTTAATCTATACCTGACATGTGAGTGGATAGCTAAATGAATTAATTAAATTTACCCCAAAGAGTTTCCAACTCAAATGTCAGATGTGACGTTTTAATTTTGTTGGAAAGTGAACATAGACCATATCCTGGACTCAGAAAAAAAACATGTTTTCTCCAAATCTGAGGCCAAGAAGAAAATTGTTAAGACAGGGATGGTAGATAACACTGAAGATTCGGAGACAGCCATCCTAGTGCATGGTTTTGGTTTGTTTGTTTGTTTGTTTGTTTGTTTGTTTGTTTGTTTGAAACAGACTCTTGCTCTGTCACCTAGGTTGGAGTGCAGTAGTGCAATCTCACCTCACTGTAACCTCTGCCTCCTGGGTTCAAGCATTTCTCCTGCCTCAGCCTCCCGAGTAGCTCGGACTACAGCCGCATGCCACCATGGCTGGTTAATTTTTAATATTTTTAGTAGAGACAAGGTTTCACCATATTGGCCAGGCTGGTCTTGAGCTCCTGACCTCATCATCCACCTGTCTCGGTCTCGCAAAGTGCCAGGATTACAGGCGTGAGCCACCACTTCCGGTCCCGAGTGCATGTTTAAAAAAATTTTTATGTCCATAATCTTTGATCCAATAATGCAACTTCTCAGCATTTTTCTCAAAAAATTATCATGAACAAATATTTGACTGTAAGGATGTTCACTGCCGTTCTGTTTATAATGTTGAAAATAGAGGCAGGGCATGGTGGCTCATACTTGTAATCCCAGCACTTTGCATGTCGAGTTGGGTAGATCACCCAGTGTCAGGGGTGTAAGACCAGCCTGACCAACATGGTGAAACCCCGGTCTCTACTGAAAATACAAAATTTGCCAGGCGTGGTGGCGCATGCTTGTAATCCTAGCCACTTGGGTGGCTGAGGCAGGAGAATCGCCTGAACCCAGGAGGCGCAGGTTGCAGCGAGCTGAGATCACACCATTAAACTCCAGTCTGGGCAACAAGAGTGAAACTCCACCTAAAAAAAAAAAAAGAAGAAGAAAATAGAAGGGCTGTTACAGGAGCAATAGCAGAGTACTGGATTCATGATTATAAATATTGACAGGTGAAATCTACTGAACCCTCACTTACATGACAGAAAATGTTCTGCAAGCTTTAAGAATCATTAAATCATTTAAACTTCTTGTTGTGCCTATCTTACAGAGGAGGGAACTGAGGCACAGGGTGTTTAAATAATTTGCCCAAATCACATAGTCAACAAGTGTCAGGGCAGGCAGTTGAACTCAGTACTGTTTAACACCAGAGCTCAAGCTTCTCCTACAAATTGCACTTCTCCCATCAATATTGAGACATCCACAATAGTCACTCCAAAAAAAAGATGATGTATTCTTCAGTGAACAAAGCCTGTGCCTGTCATCCTGCCTAGACATTACTAGATGAAAATATCGGAATACCATAGACACTGCTTCGTTAAAGACAATGTTAGGTAAGGATGCAAAGCCATTCACAGAAATCCCTGCAGGGATGGGTGCTAGGATATAAGAAGTCTCTGCCCCTAGAACTCCGCCATCTCTTCCTCTGCTTCTCACTGCCTCCTCTGCTCATCTCTTGCAAACCACCTTCTCCACTAAAGCTTTAACTTTCAAGGTACAAATCCTTTTTTTTTTTCTTGAGATGGAAGTTTTGCTCTTGTTGTCCAGGTTGGAGTGCAGTGGCGCTATCTCGGCTTACCACACTCTACCTCCCAGGTTCAAGCGATTCTCCTGCCTCAGCCTCCAAGCTGAGATCACAGGCATGTGCCACTAAGCCTGGCTAATTTTGTATTTTTAGTAGGAATGGGGTTTCTCCATGTTGTTCAGGCTGGTCTTGAACTCCCGACCTCAGGTGATCTGCCAGCCTCAGCCTTCTAAGGTGCTGGGATTACAGGTGTGAGCCACCACACCCAGAATTCTAATCCCATGTTAATATGGTTTGGCTGTGCCCCCACCCAGATCTCACATTGAATTGTAATAATCCCCATGTGTCAAGGGCAGGACCAGGTGGAGATAATGGAATCATGGGGGCGGTTTCCCCCATACTGTTCTCCTGATGGTGCATAAGTCTCATGAGATCTAGTGGTTGTATAAATGGGAGTTCCCCTGCACAAGCTTTCTTGCCTGCCACCATGTAAGACATGCCTTTGCTTCTCCTTTACCTTCTGCCATGATTGTGAGGCCTCGCCAGCCATGTGGAACTGTGAGTCCATTAAACCTCTTTCCTTTACAAATTACAAAGTCTTGGGTATGTCTTTTTTTTTTTTTAGCAGTGTGAGAATAGATTAATACATATGCCAATGTGATATTATAGCACCAGTCCCCCATACAATCTGGTTTAATCCCAGGGCAAGAGCAGGGACTAGCCCAGCTGGGCCAGATGACCACACCTGTTCCAATCAGCTGGGGCCAGGGAATGGAGTTCTGCAGAACTGGCTCAATAAAATAGGAAGTGGCTTGGATGAAAGCACAGACCATCTAAGTGATAAGACTACTTTTTTGGCTACAAAAAAACATAATTAGGCTGGGTACAGTGGCTAACGCCTGTAATCCCAACACTTTGGGAAGCTGAGGCGGGTGGATCACGAGGTCAGGAGATCGAGACCATCCTGGCTAACATGGTGAAATCCCATCTCTACTAAAAATACAAAAGATCAGCCAGGCATTGTCATTGTTTTACAGACATGCCTGTAGTCCCAGCTACTCAGAAGGCTGAGGCAGGAGAATTGCTTGAACCTGGGAGGCGGAGGGTGTAGTGAGCTGAGATCACACCACTGTACCCCAGTCTAGGTGACAGAGAGACTCTGTCTCAAAAAACTAATAATACAAAAAGTAAAAACCATAATTAGAAAGAAAAACGTTGCAAAGGGTCCACATGAAGGTATTAACGATGCTTCTGTCTACAGTGTTTGTTTTCTTATTTTTGCTTGTCTGTGTGTTCTAAATTTTCTAAAGTGGACATATATCACTTTATACTAAGAGGATAAAAGAGACCCAACCAAGGGACATCAAAAATGAATGTCCCTTGGCCAGGCACAGTGGCTCATGCTTGTAATCCCAGCACTTTGGGAGGCCAAGGCAGGCGGACTGCTTGAGGCCAAGAGTTCGAGACCAGCTTGGCCAACATGGCAAAAATTAGCTGGGTATGGTGGCACAGGACTGTAATCCCAGCTACTTGGAAGACTGAAGCGCAAGAATCACTTGAACCCGAGAGGCAGAGGTTGCAATGAGTCAAGATTGCACCACTGCACTCCAGTTGGGACAACAGAGCAAGACTCCATCTCAAAAACAGAACAAAACAAAAACAAAGAATGTCCCAAATGGGTGCTATTTGGAGACTAAAGGTCCAGATCAAGAAAAAAGTAATTTCAGTGATGATGGAATGTAGTAAATGCTTACCAAAGAAAGGTTAGCAACTGAACAGCAAACTCTGCCTGAAAGCCTTTGGATTGGAGCAAGCTTCATCACGAAGATCTCAAAGCTGTATCTGGTGGAGATGCCGGACATGTGACACCAGGGCCCACTGTCCCATGACACTGTGCTGGACAACTGGCTCCTGGGATAAGACAAGTCAGAGCAGAGAAGGGCATGAGTCATGTGAAATATAAGATAGGATTTGAGGAGGCAAGACAATGGCCATAAAGAAGGAAAACAAAATGAAAATGTGTATTTCAAGCAGCTGAGGAATGAGACAAAGCAGAGAAAAGTTCACTGGTCTGAAAAATTGCAATAGGATAGCAAGTAAGTAGGGAAGGAGAAGGGGGCGTGAATCTTTCTCATGCACAGAAAGGAAAAAGTCATGGCAGAAGAACAAAAAAGGGAAGGTTTTTGGACCATCACAGAGCCTGTAATGCCAGCACTTTGGGAGGCCAAAGCAGGCAGATCATTTGAGGTCAGCAGTTCGAGACCAGCCTGGGCAACATGGTTAAAACCCGTCTCTATTAAAAATACAAAAATTAACCAGGCCTGGTGGCACACACCTGTAATCCCAGCGACTCAGGCGGCTGAGGCAGGAGAATCACTTGAACTTGGGAGGTGCAGGGTGCAGTCAGCCAAGATCGCACCACTGCACACCAGTCTGGGTGACAGAGTAAGACTCTGTCTCAAAGACAAAAAAAAAAAGGATCATTCTCAACCTGATGTTCTTTTGGGACACTCATCTTTGGAGTCCTGAGTGGCCATCTAAGAAGTGCCAGGATGAGATGCTGTGAGAAAGTTCGAACTACATGGAGTGACCCTGTGAATGGGTTCCAGCTGAGGTCGCAGCCACGGCCAGCATCAAGGAGCAGACATGAGATTGAAGCAGCCTCAGCGATCACTTCAGCCTTGGCCACTCCCAGACCTCATTCCTATCCTCATGAAAGCCTGTGTGGGAACCACCCAGCCATCCCAGTCAACACTCAAAAGAATGACAGATCATCATAACCTGATTGTTGTGGTTTTAAGTTAATAAACTTCAGGGTAATCTGTCCTGCAGAAGTAGACAACTGGATTAGAAATAGTTGGTTCTCAATAAGTTTCTATTAAATTTAACCCAATAGCAGATAAGGGAAGGCAACATTGATCATTTTCTCCCTTTTTCTTTAACTCCCTGCGATTTTGTTCCTTGGCCAGTCTCTCCTTACTTCATCTCTCTCTTTCTCTCTTCTCTGTCTCACTTTCTCTCTCTCTGTCTCTCTGCAAATTCAGAATTCTCCCATTTGTTGTGTGTGTCCAGGGAAGTTGGAGAAACCAGAGCTTCCATCCAGACAGCCAGGGCTCTCTCTATATCTATAAAAGGCCTCTGTTTTCTCTCTTTTGACATAAAGAAACTCAATTCTTTTTTTTTAACTGCTCCCATTTCTCTGTTCTGTACTGACTTTATTCCTCCTTCCTGAGTGATCTTTGAGTCTTCTGTGTACTTTTTAGGTTGTAAAACAAAGAACAAGACACCCTACCCCAGGGATGATATTGGCTATGACACTACCCTCATCTGGAAAGTGCTGTTATTTTTGGCCACCTTTGGATCTTCTTGTAGCTGTTCTACTCCTCTGCTGCAGCAGTTCCGACTCACTTCCCCGGGCAGTCCAGGGAGTCTGCAGACAGCAGCTGCATTGGGAGCCTGAGTGGGAAGATAGCAAACTGGGTGGTCAGAAGAATTTCTGTGAGGATGCGGCTTCAAATGAGGCAGTGTAGGCGGGAATGCAGGGACCCTGTGGCCTGCAGACAGCCTGGCTCGCCTTGCCCAGAGAGGGAGTGACTCATAGAATGGTGGCTGAGCAGCTGATAAAGTGTGGAGGCTGAGGGAGACCCAGAAACTGGACCGGAAATCTTCCCCCACACCCAATGTGGAAGGATGTCTGCTCCATCTGCGCTGCCCCTCAGAGGTGGCAGGAGTGTCAGCCTGGGGCAAGCCTAGGTGGGCACCCATCGACTGGTTCACACCCTTGTGCAAACACACGGTATCATGTAGGAGCACAGAGCTGTTTGCCAGAAAGATGAAGAAGCCAACCCCCAGGAATGGCAAACACGTTCAAAAAAGGACCACGTGCAAGGTTGGCCGGGCACACTAGTAGCAGGCCAGGCAATATCATCTCAGGTCAAGGAGAAAGCCCCATGGCCAAAAATAGCTGCCCTTCCCAGTTGCCGCAGTATCTAAAATTATACCGTTGGAGATTTATTCCTTTGCACACCTCACCTTTGCTACAGGGCAAGTCTGGGGAGGACCCAGGAAATGTCTTCACATTAAGGTGCAAAAGGCCTGGAAGCCCCACAGAGTTATTTGGGGGCAGGAAAGGAGGGAGGTGTTACAAGGGCAGTGAAAAGGCGGAGGAAGTGCTGGGGAGGGACACCACAGGGCAGCTTCTCCTATTTCAGAGTTTTACCCTGACGGAGCCTAGCTGGCAGCTACATCATAAAACTGAGGCCTAAGCAATTTGCCAGTAAATTTGAACCATGCATGTAAACAATTCTAATGATTTACTCCTTGAAATGCTTCGGATGATCCATTATCACACAGAGCTACACGACTCTACTTCAAATAGTCTAAACGCTGAAAAAATGTACATTAAGGGGCAATTAATAACAAGAGGCAACATGAGGAAACTGTGTATGCAAAAGCTAGTCCTGCTGGAACAGAGGGAAGCTGAGGGCAGCCACTCAGGCCACTGCAAGCAAAGTCTGGGTTTCTAGGGGAAGATTCCTTCAGAAATTCAGGCAAGGGCTGTCTTTATATGTAGAAGTTTGGATGACCTGATCCCAGAAGATCAAGCAATAAACAGAATAAAAGAGAACAATTGCTATTAGAAAGCTACATCCAGTCCATTGCATCAATACACGATGGCTCTGTTTTAAAAGTTCCTAAGATGTAGATAAGAATTTCAGAAAAGCGTGTTCACCCTGCTGAAGCCCCGCTCTGGGACAGAAAGCTAAGTACCGTGGATGCCGCTGGTGAGCTAGGCAGGGGCAGGGATTACACAGGGAATAGAATAGAAGGAAACTGTCAGCTGAAATCCCTGCACGGGGTCACTCCATGTAGCCTGAGCTTCCTCACAGCATCTCATCCTTGCACTTCTTACGTGGACACTCAGGACTCCAAACATGAGTGTCCCAAGGGAGCAAGGTTGAGGCTGATGGTTCTTTTTTTTTTTTTGAGATGGAGTCTCATTCTGTTGCCCAGGCTGGAGTGCAGTGGTGTGATCTCGGCTCACTGCAACCTCCACCTCCCAAGTTCAAGCGATTCACCTGCCTCAGCCTCCCAAATAGCTGGGATTACAGGCGCCTGCAACCATGCCTGGCTAATTTTTGTATTTTTAGTAGAGATGGGGTTTTACCATGTTTCCAAGGCTGGTCTCAACATGAGGAAGGGAGAAAGGAAGGAATGAAAGAGCAGAGCCTGACATTGGGAACAGCTGGTTCCCTCAAGAATAATCACACCTCTACACCATTTGGCAGTTTAGAAAGAACTTCCGGGCCGGGCACTGTGGCTCACGCCTATAATCCCAGAACTTTGGGAGGCCGAGGCGGGTGGATCACGAGGTCAAGAGATCAAGACCATCCTGGTCAACATGGTGAGACCCCATCTCTACTAAAAATACAAAAAATTAGCTGGGCATGGTGGTGCATGCCTGTAATCCCAGCTACTCAGGAGGCCGAGGCAGGAGAATTGCCTGAACCCAGGAGGCAGAGGTTGCGGTGAGCCGAGATCACGCCATTGCACTGCAGCCTGGGTAACAAGATCGAAACTCCGTTTTGAAAGAAAGGAAAGAAAGAAAAGAGAAAGACAGAAAGAAAGAAAGAAAGAAAGAAAGAAAGAAAGAAAGAAAGAAAGAAAGAAAGAAAGAAAGAAAGAAAGAAAGAAAGAAAGAGAAAGAACTTCCATATTAACTTGGCCTTGAGGCCTCCAACTCCATGAAGGAAGGAAGTTTACTCTGATTTTTATAAAGGAGGATTCTTTGGATGAGAGCATTTAGGTAAGTTGCCAAAGGCCACACAGCTGGTAAGCTGGGGACCATCGTTAGGTCTTGAAACCCGGTCTAACAAACTACTGTCCCTCTTTGTTTATTTCAACAGCATTGGGAGTTACAGAACATGAAGATTCAAGAAATGATCCTCCTGGATCTACTGAGTAACTTCCTGGTGATTTTGGTAGCTAAAACTTTCCTCCTTAACTTTAATTCATGTATGCACTTAACAAATAATGATTGAGCATCAAGAACTACTGGGCATTGTTCCAGAGCTTGAGTTCGCCTGCATGGAGATTTTACCTAGGGGGGACTCCTTGACAGCTGATGGCAACTGTCCCCATTTCAGAGAGCCATTCCCTGACTGTGCAATGCAACGAGTTTCCGGCCACTCTTTCAATCTTATTGTCATACTTAATACCATCTAAAGCCATGTGGTTCGCAGATTCATTCCCTATCTTACTGTTTATCTCCTTTAGAAAAGTAAGTCCTTCAGAACAACGACCCAGTCTTATTTGAAGCGGTCTTTCCAAAATTAGAACACTTCCTGTACATAATAGGTGCTCAATAAATATTTGTCCAATAAATGGCATTGAATACCAAGGACAGCTTTTTACCAGTGCCTACTATGCTCACAAAAGAGTGTGAGCCTACTTCCATAAATCATTTCATTTAATCAAGATTATATATGCCAAAATAGGAACTATATGAAGAAAATAGTGTTTTAATATTAGTGAAGAAAGTGCTTGTACGAAATAAGGGTCAATTTGAAATGTTTCTATTCTGCACCACTTAATACAAGAACAAGGGCTATTTTGTGACATTCAAAGGCAACAAATTTAAAGCTAAGAAAAGGAGATACTTTTTAAAGCAGCGTATAATCTACCTGTGGAATTCAGCGCCCCAGGATATTACTGAGGCAAATAGTCTAGCAAGATTCAAGAAAGGATTAGACATTTTTATGAATAGAAATAATATTGGCAGTTACACTAACTAGGTTAAAAAGTTACAAGGCATGTCCGTCCTGGGCTCCAGGGCATAGCTGTTCACCAGCTGGAGTGAGGAAGGAATTTCCTCCTGGGATGGAGCACTGCAGAACTGGCCAGATGCACGATGGCCCGTATTTTTGCCGACTTCTGTGACATAGGCAGAGACCATTGCCAAGGGGAAGTTTCTAAAGTAGATGGACCAATGGCCTCTAAACCTGGTCTTTCTGTCTTCTCCTTGAACTGTCCTGAATAGGAGATGGAGCGTGCACGTAACGCCTTTTGGGATTCGTACCTGAGAACTTTTCAATTTCACAAAACAGAAATGGTAAAAATAACTTCCCCCTTCCCAATGATGAAAATATTACACGGAATGAAATCATGTCCTGCCTGTAATCTTATTAGCAACACAGCCAATAATGCCGGGAGGCTGCCTGAGCTCTTCCAAACCTCAAAGCAAGAGTCCTTGTCAAATCTCCAACAAGGACATTATCTACCCATGTTTTACATCCATCTATTACTGTGCCTTATGCACATGTGCTTAACACCTGCGTTTAATGAAAATGTATTTCTGCCGATGTGAAAAAAAACCTTTCATAATGCTGTCCACTCACCTAGCGAAGCTTCTCTCTTTATTACAGAGTCAATTATACTGCCAGGCACAACCTTTGATTCTTGATGATGTATGCCATGTATTTTTTTCATTCTAACGTGAAAAATCCAAAAGGTAGTTGTTAGCTATGCAACCAAATACAAGTGTTCACAGTGGTATGGTATCATATTAATGAAAACATAGAAACTAAGTTATGCATTATTCTTTCTTACTTTACTGACTTCAGTTTTCCAGGTGTAGACAACACTCTGAAGAAATTGTTTTAGTATTTCATTTATTAGAGATACAGGCCAGGTGCAGTGGTACATGCCCGGAATCCTAGCGCTCTGGGAGGCCCAGGCAGGTGGACCACTTGAGGTTAGGAATTCAAGATGACCAGCCTGGCTAACATAGTGAAATCCCCATCTCTACTAAAAATACAAAAATTAGCCGGGCATGGTGGCGTGCACCTGTATTCCAGATACTTGGGAGGCTGAGGCAGGAGAATCGCTTGAACCTGGGAGGCAGGGGTTGCAGTGAGCCAACTTCACACCACTGCACTCCAGCCTGGGCAACAGAGCAAGACTCTGTCCCCGGCCCCTCAAAAAAAATTATTAGAGAAAGGGCTTCTTTCCTCCAAACTGAGATATAAAGAACATTCTGCAAGCCAAAGCAGAAAGGAAAATTTTAGTTTAAATCTTCAAACCAGCAATAAACCTAAAAGTTTTCAAAGTTTCCTGAAAAAAAAAGATAAAATATATACAGCAAAATGTTGTATAAATGTTAATATATGTGTTTGTCTGGAGAGAGAGAGAGAAAGAGAAACCATAGATTCCATTAATATCTTCAGATGCATTCTCACACAATATAAGACAAGAAAGTTAAGAAACACTAATCTAGGTCCCCAGTCCAAAAGAAAATTCTCACCCAAGTCTGGACGAAGTGCTTTCTGGACAAAGTCCTTTGCAACTATACGTAAGACTTATTCCCTTGAACTTTCCTTAAATTAGCAGAATAATATCAACTGATTCTCTTGGTCAAAATTCATTGATTTAGTGCCTAGATCCCACCCAGAGAAGAAAAACCCTTCAAACATTTAAGTGTTGAAGGCCGCTTGCTATTTTATTAACTGGTTGCAAACAAGCTTTTTTAGGTTTGGCCATTTTCTCATGGTCCAAGCTTTCCTAGTTATTTTTTCATGTGGTTATTATAAGAGAAGAGCTTGTCTGAGTTTTATATGTTGGTGTGGGATTTTTTGAATTTTTTTGGTTGTTGATGTTTGTTTTTCACTTATAACCACATATTATGAGAAACTGTAAGGTATAAATTAATAGTGTAAGCTCTGTAGTCAACTAGGATGGGCTGAAATCTCACACTAGACTCCAAATAAACCAATTAGCCTTCCCAGTCCTCTCTTTTTTAATCTGTAAAATGAAGACATAATAATATCTACCACACCAAGTCTGTGTACAAAATAAATGAGACAATGCCTATAAAACATGTGGCATTGGCTGGGCACAGTAACTCACACCTGTAATAGCAGCACTTTGGGGGACTGAGGTGGGTGGATCATGAGGTCAAGAGATGGAGACTATCCTGGCCAACATGGTTAAACCCCGTTTCTACTAAAAGTACAAAAATTAGGTGGGCGTGGTGGTGCATGCCTGTAGTCCCAGCTACTCAGGAGGCTGAGGCAGGAGAATCGCTTGAACCCTGGAGGCAGAGGTTGCAGTAAGCTGAGATCTTGCCACTGCACTCTGGCCTGGGGACAGAGCAAGACTCCGACTCAAAAAAGAAAAAAAAAATGTGGTATTGTGCTTCTCATATATTAAGTGGCTAATAGATATTGCCTATTAGTATGATTATGCATATTTCACCTCTGTATTTATGAGCATAAAGAGTGCATATGCTGTTTCCTGATTATCAGATCATTCTCATACATTTTTATGGCCCTTGATACATATTGCAAATCAATTTCCAAAAGGGTTTTGCTAATATATCCCCTCACAGCAATATCACAGTGTCAGTTGTACCACTCCTTGGTTAACAATGGGAATTACTGTTAACCAGGTATAAAAGAAAAAGGAAAAAAAAAAAGATGGAGAAGAAAGGAAGCCAAAAAAGAAAAGAGAATTTAAATTTCTTTTTTGCCTGTGTACATGTAAGCTATTGTGTTTCTATATCTAGGAAAAGAAATCTGTGAATGGTCAAATTTCCATTCAGCATCAGCCAGTTTCTTTCCAAACACTTTCTCAAAGTGTTGTACTTCACCTTTCAAAAAGCCTCACCCCACAGCCACACATCTTGTAGTTTTCCAGCTGAGTAGACTCACAGAAGGGAAGAGTGGTTTTCTGGTTCTCTGCCAGATGTCCAGTGGTCCCACGAAGGCGAGAGATCCACCCTTGTGAAGATGTGGTGTACAGGATGATTCCCAGAGGAACAGGGGACCTGGTGAGGCCAATATACAAATATTTTCTTGTAAGGTAGGATAATGCAGAATGGCACAGCCCACATCTGACCACAAGTCATGGAAGGTGTAACCCAAGGAGGCATATCACCCGAGCTCTGAAAGAGATAATCTGGGAGGAACAGTTGGTTTGTGAAGCCTTTCAAGCGACTTAAATAATACCTGGTTTTGTGGAAAGAGAAAGAAAAGAAAAGAAAGAAAGAAAATACTTTAGTCTTTGGTATGGGATTTACTGCATGTCAGAGTGAGGAGACTGACAATGTTGACCTGGAAATATTCTAATTCTAGGCAACCAAATGGAGCCTTTTCCCCACTCTCTCCACATCAACATCTGGCTGGCCCCCTCTTTCTCTTAAAACAGTTCCTGAGGAGGCCCAAAAGTTCATTTGATGTCTGTGTGGGCACTGTTCTAATAAGAAAACTGGGACCTCCCTGCTTATTCACACAAATCCCCTGATAAGAACTCCCTTCTAGGTGGACGTGATTAATAGGGTCGATTCAACTGCTTCTCCTACTTCAATTACCATGAAGGACTCACATTAAAATGCTTAGGAAAGATTAGAGTTGGGTTCTTTTGACATTTGTTGGGGGTGTGGATCATCTTCTATATTCCTGATTCTGGTCCTGGCTAAAGAGGTTGAGAGGATTTGCATTCCAAGATGGGGACCACTGGTATGACCTTTTCCTTGGCTCTGTGGTCAAGCCACCCACTGCTCTGCTTACTACCCGAGTGACCCTGGGCAATCATTTAATCTCTCCAGACTTCTGCTGCTAATCCAGTATATAGGGATAGTCACACCTGCCTTGCAGCGTTATTGTGAGGGAAGCACCAGCTCCTGGTACATGGAGATTTTATTTATACATGAACACATATATGTGTGCATACATACAGATGTATACTTCAGTTATTGAAAATTATCTCCATCTTTATAGCTCACAAGGTGATTTTTGAAAAGTCGATCAAGAAAGAAAGAAAAAAACCATTTTCCTCTCCAACAAGAAAAAGCAATTAAACGTCAAATATTAACTGTTCCTGGGAGTAAATTTTTTTAATGGGTTAAAGGCTTGGCCATTATAGACCTCCAATATGTAATTTCTAAGAAAGGACCAGGTAATATATTTTTTTAAATTAAGTGGAAGACAAAATGCTGGAACCAGTGAATCCATTCAGAAAGCACTTTTTTATCCATTTTCAGTAGCTTCCCAATTGCATCATGCCTTTTAAGAGGCCCAATTTGTTTAACAGCATTTTATTTTAAACCTTCACTTGTGAAAAGCATTGATTTATGATGGGGCTGATTAAAGCAATGGTGTCTTAAGCAATAATGATTTCAATTACAGGACTTTCACCAGTGTGCATTATTCTGATTTGCTCTCCATTCTTGCCACATTTTTATTCACAATGGAAGGGGTATGGATAGGTGATGTAATTTTGAAAAGTCCCTGGACAAATTTAATATCAGAAAGGAATGTATAGACAGATGGACTGATGTACCTTTTTGGATGATGTGAATGTATTGTATTTTAATATGCTCTGACAAACTCTTCAACAGCTCCCTGATGAGCTCCTACTTGGTATCATTAAGGTTATTTAGTGCTTGGATTCTGCTCTATTCCCACTGGAGCCTGCACTGAGGTTGCTGAAATGTACACACTACAGATTCACTCCAAGCTTACCACTTAGAGTCTTCTCTTCTCTTTTTGTGAAGCTGGAGAAAGCAATTAAGCTCACACTTAGATCTTTAACTTGTTTGAAGCCAACAGCCGTAGAAAGACATACCAAACTGGGCGTGATGGCTCACTCCTGTAATCCCAGCACTTTGGGAGGCCAAGGCAGGTGCATCACTTGAGGCCAGGATTTGGAGACCAGCCTGGCCAACATGGTGAAACCCTGTCTCTACTAAAAATTAAAAAATTAGCCAGATGTGGTTGTGGGCACGTGTAATCACAGCTACTTGGGAAGTTGAGGCATGAGAATCGCCTGAACTCGGGAGGGGGAGGTTGCAGTGAGCTGAGATGAGATTAAACTACTGCATATAGAGACATGGTGAAACCCTGTCCTCCTGACCTCGTGATCTGCCTACCTCGGCCTCCCAAAGTGCTGGGATTACAGGTGTGAGTTACCACACCCAGCCAAAGCTTCTTGATTTTAAAGGGTGGATAAACACTGGCCAAATTCGGCCTGCAGGCTGCCGGTGCAATGCTCCCTAGTTGATGCACAACTAGGCAGTCCATCAAGTTATCAGACAGAAGACTGGCCACAAAACAGTCCCATTCTCTGCAAAAGCCTTTTTTTTTTTTTCAGAGACGGAGTTTCGCTCTTGTTACCAGGCTGGAGTGCAGTGGTGCAATCTCGGCTCACTGCAACCTCCGCCTCCTGGGTTCAGGCAATTCTCCTGCCTCAGCCTCCTGAGTAGCTGGGATTACAGGCACGTGCCACCATGCTCAGCTAAGTTTTTGTATTTTTAGTAGAGATGGGGTCTCACCATGTTAACCAGGATGGTCTCGATCTCTTGACCTCGTGATCCACCCGCCTCGGCCTCCCAAAGTGCTGGGATTACAGGCTTTAGCCACTGCACCCGGCGTGCAAGAGCATTTTTAAAAATTGTCAAAGTATTTCAATTCTTCTACTGTGCAAACATTTAGTGGAAATCTATTATGTGCTAAGAACCATGAGTGGAGGACTGAGAACACAAAAAAAGAATAATATCCCTTATCTGCCCTCAAGGGGATAATAATCTATCATTTACATATATGAACTATAAAAGATTTGGGGTTTAAAAAAACTAAGGAGGCTGTGCGTGGTAGCTCAAACCTGTAATCCCAGTACTTTAGGAGGCTAAGGCGCATGGATCATGAGGTCAGGAGTTCAAGACCAGCCTGGCCAAGATGGTGAACCCCTGTCTCTACTACAAATACAAAAACTAGCTGGGCATGGTGCCAGGCACCTGTAATCCCAGCTACTTGAGAGGCTGAGGCAGGGAATTGCTTGAACCTAGGAGGCAGAGATTGCAGTGAGCTGAGATCGCACCACTGCACTCCAGTCTGGGCAACAGAGGGGGACTCTGCCTCAAAAAAAAAAAAAAAAGAGAGGAGAAATGTAGTCTAATTTTGAGGCCCAATCCATCACATTTATTTTTAGTTAAGAACCTCCTTTGTTACCATTTAGGTAAATTAGTTTGTTCCTGTGCTGTGCTTTAAACCATCATTTTAATTTGAGAGCTAGTCCTGTGAATACCAAAGTCCGTGTAGGATATATTTCTCTTAAAATCCCCAGCAGCAGTTGGAAGGTAAAATTCCAATCACACCTTGATAGAATTTTCCTCCATCAAATCAACTTTACAGATTTCTTAATTAGGCGCTGATATTAACTCAGCCCTCACATGATTTAAATCTAGCTTTTAATCTCAGCTATTCTATGCTGCCATAGTTTTTATGAGAGCTGACCAGCAAATGCTTTATGCTTTAATCTCTCTGGAAAATCACCTGAATAATTTTTTAAACTTTTGTGGGGCAGAGGGGAGGATGTGGAATAGAAGTCCCAAGAAGCAAATGAAGGCATCGGCTATTAGAATTTGTGGTTTAGCATTTGAAAAATCATGTGCTAAATTGCTTTACAGAAGAAAATCAAATCAAAGTTAAGATCCTCTCTGTTTAAAGTTTGTAATTATTTCTCAGACTCCTGTTTGAAATGCCTTAAAAGTGCCTCCATTGAAATGTGTATGAACTTGTTCTCTCTTCCTTTCAATATGTTGTTGCCGTCCATTTCCTTCTCTGATGGCATGGCCTGAAGAGAAAACTCTCACACATCACCACTGTGGGCAGGATATGGAAACAGCCAAAACAGGTGGAGCACTGTGCTAAGAACTCAGCACTGAATTGATTTAAACACAGTATTTGATACATTCTCTACCTTAATAAGAGGCAATTACAGGAGACCTCATTTCCTTTGTGGCATGAAATTCCCAGCCAAACTGGAGCATACAGTTCCCTTTTCCTTCCTCTTCTTCTCAGCCCATCCCTGTGAAGTTCTTCCCAGCGAGCATTAAGTCATAGGAAACGTGTTGTACCTGTTCTCCACACTGGATATTACAGAGCATTGGAATCTTTTTATTTGCTTTACAGGGATGACCATTCTCATGGGGCATTGACTTTCTTAATTAGCAGCTACTTTGACAATTCTTCTCCAAACCCTTTATGTGACAAGTAAAGGAGAAAAGACTGGGAGAAATGAAGTGACTTGCCCAGAGTCATGAAGCCAGATTCTGTGGCTTCATGGTCTAGCATTCTCTCTACCTCATCTCTCAGCCATCATAGGGATAACGGTTCTCAAACTGGAGTTTTACGTAGGCTTCACAATCAACACTTACTTATTATAAAAGTATGAATGGGCCCTTGTTTTATGCCAAGTGCCATGCCCATCTTCAGAGACTCAACAATGAACTAGAAGCATTCTAATTCTGATCCAGTCCTGACCAGCTAATGACTCTTTCTCGCTGAATTGCTTAACAGAATTGGCTGAATATTGCACAGAGTGTGAACGTGGAGAGGAAACTTGGAACTTTCATCTCAACTCCTCCTCATTTTATAAAGGGAACACTAAGGCCCCCAGAGGTCTTAAGAGTAAGTTCACGTTAGAGGTTGGTCTAGAACCCACAGTGCTGACCACTCAATGAAGCTCTTTTCACTTGAGTACATTCATCTAATTCAGAATGTATCTATCATGGGGCCCACTCTATTGCATTTATTATACAAATGTCCTTTGTCATCTTTCAGGTAAGTTAGTTTCTCCCTTTGGTCTGCTTGAAAGCTCCATTTTATTTTTTATTTTTTGAGACAGAGTCTCACTGTTGCTCAGGTTGGAGTGCAATGGTGTGCCGTCTTGGCTCACTGCAACCTCCGCCTCCTGGGTTCAAGGGATTCTCCTGCCTCACTCTCCCGAGTAGCTGGGATTACACGTGCCCACCACCACACTCAGCTA